TGTTGTCGTTGGGAGTCGTCCATACTTGCGCGACGACCAAAGCAACCAAGGAATTGTACTGCTGGGGTTCCAACGATTCCGTGGATTTGTTGCTCAAACGACCGGTATCCTATCATACACCCCAACATATTGACTTGGGAGGACAAGGAATCTTTCAAAATAATGCCGACATTGACATTTTGCAAATCACGTCGGGACGATCTCACAATTGTGCCGTGGTGGCCTATCCTTCGTTCAACTTGGAACGATTTGTCTGTTGGGGGTCCAATGAATTTGGACAATTGGGGATTGGTTCTACCGAGGATGGATTCGAGAGTCCGGTCCAAGTGGCATCCACCTTGGATATAGATTTGTTGCCGCAACAAATATCTGCTGGATACTCTCATCAATGCGCCATTCAAGCGGCGGACAATTCCTTGTGGTGAGTAGGACTGATGCAAATTGTATTGTGTTTGGATCTTATGTCATATAACTGCACAACATACTCAATCATCAATACCTTGCTCGCTTGCTTTCTTCTTTTTATTTTGTTGCAGGTGCTGGGGACTCAACTCGAATGGACAAATCGGTGTGGGTACCACCAATACCAACGTATTGACACCCACCAAGATTGCACAACTTGGTTCCGTCAGTACCGTATCGGCCGGATCCTATCATACCTGTGCGATTAGTACCACACTGCCAGAGTCGACCTTCCTCGATGCCCGCGAAGAGGAAGATGGAAGAAAGGAGGGAAATGTCTATTGTTTTGGATACAATTCCTTTGGACAATTGGGTATTGGAAACTTGGAAGATCAACAGCTGCCACAAAAGGTGGATCTGGGAGGATTCGCCAAGGATATCAAGACGGGACGTGATCATACGTGTGCACTGATGGAAGATGAAACCGTCAAGGTACGTTGTTATATATAGGGTTGATTGGCTAGCTGGCATTGCAAACAGCAATATCTCAAACGAGGCCTCTTGCTCTAACGTCCATCTTTGTTTTCTATTATCTGCGAATGATAGTGCTGGGGTAGCAATTTTTCGGGTCAATTGGGAGTTGGCAACAATCGAGAATCATCGATGACGCCAGTTACAGTGCCCGATCTGAGAGATGTGCAAAAGCTGGCACTGGGACGAGAACACACTTGTGTTTCCAAAAGTGATCAAACTCTTTGGTGTTGGGGAACCAATTTACATGGACAATTGGGATTGGGTGAAAACGTTTCCATTCAATACTTTCCACA